TAGCTAATTTTGAGCTATTTATTGACATTTTAAATATGTGAGATTTTACGTAATTTTATTTTGTGAGGTACTCTGTTCACGCATAGAGCTCATTAAATTGCATCGGGATTTTTTTTTTGATTCGATGCTTAGTGAGAAATGTATTGGTTTTACAATGTTTATATTTATTCTTATCTACCAGAAATCTTGCTCCGATGCAACACGTGTTTTCTTCTGAAAGTAAGTTATAAAGAGGTTATTTTTTGATTTTACAAGCGGTTTTCATATTAATTGGAAAAAACATAAGAAAAACAGGAAATTATATCTGTATTAATAAAAAAAAATTGACTTAAAATCGTTTTTCGTTAGAAACAATTTATCTTTGCACACAGCTACAAATTAAATATTTCTTTATAGTATTCTAGCTTTCCAACTTCTTACCTACAAGAGTGACCCACCCATTGTGCGAAGTATATCAGTCTTTTTTATGTTACATAATCATTTCTTTTAGTTTACGAGCGTGAATTTTCTCCGGAAGTTTACACGACGCGATGATGTGTCCGTCCTAAATTATTATCATCCGAATCGTTTCCCACGTTTGCCTGCAAGTATATCTAAGTATACAGAAACCTGGGGCTTAGAGTAGTAAAGTTTCCCGGCATTAATATACCACACAACTCGTCGTTGAAACGATAATAATATGCACGGCACAATCATATATTTACTACATCATGCAAACTCGAAATAACATTTACGGTACAATATATTTGCAGGTGAATAATACAACTGTGCGATTTCGCGGTGGCTCGAGAGTTTCTCGTCCACACACTATACACTTACCTAATAAATCGCTTGTAAATTTCGTTGGGTATTTCATATAATATCATTGCTATCTATTGTCATTTCATCTCTCGACATTATATTTTCTAGCATTATTTTTATACAATATGCGTATATTGATATCCTATATATTTAGTCTAATCTCAGTGACCGAAAAAAATGTGTCAATTTTGATGAGACTTCTCTCAAACTTCATAATTGTTTCATCTTGAGTACCTTAAGCAAATACTAATTGAGTGTTTCTATCGGATCATTTTTGTAAACTTTATCCTTAGTTATGTATTCAGAGTGAAGTACTTAATCTATTTTGATTTCATTAATATTTCTAATTAAGTTTGTTGATATTATACAATTGTATATTATATCGATAAGCGAACAACACCAATTTTGTCTTTGGATATTCCGCTCTGTGCTTTTTCTGTATTATGATACAGTTTTGCATTATGATACAGTTTTGCATTATGATTACACATTATAACCTTTCCTAGGTCTCGTGTGTCTATGTATATAACTTCTATTTTCTGAGAACCATCTTCAGAGAATAACGTCTTTACCAAAGACCAACTAAAGCTCAAACGCGTACAAAACAAATTATTATCTCACGCTACCTATATTCTCAAGTTTCGTAATAACCCATGTTACGATTATGTTAGGAGCCGTGTAGTTTTAAAATGTATTTTCTTCGCTTCCGCTACCCAAATAAGGATCGAGCCTTCTTATTAGTATATATTTATTGGGTATCAACATGACCCTGATATACTTGAATTGGTTTCTTTTAAAATGTATCGTGTGATGCGCAGCAACTATCTACTTGGACAAAAGGTGTCCATTTACGGTTAAATTTTTCGAGATGCGACTCTTACTGTTTAATTATTTAGAACCACGGCGATTTTTATGACGTCAAATTTGATTTTAGTAATTTCTAAAATATAAACCTAACAAATTAAATTCAACTAAGGAAGTTTATTAAAAATAAAATTAACCGGTTCATGAACTTATATTTCAATTGGTGCTTATGAACTAGTTTAAGGTTTGAAATGAACGTTCAAAAATTTAGCATTATGATATGTACCCGTATTATATTAACGTCAACCTATAACATTCCGAGTAGAGCGAGAATATATTTCCGACGATTTTTGTATTCTTATGTTTGTCTCCGAAAACAAGTTTTTTTCTATTTAGCGAAGATTCGTTCCAATAAAAACTTTATGGGAGCTTTATTGTATAGCATTTTGGATGAAATAATAACAACAATATTTTCTATATATATCGAATGACCCGTTTGACTATATATTTTTTGAAGCCCGCAAAAACTTTTTCACAATAATAGTATACGAATATTATATTATTTATTATTAGCAACCCAAAACATGAGTTTGAATATTATTATCGTATATCCCTTCAAAATAATGAAATCCAAACTATTTGAAAATATTTGGTACAAATCCGGTTTTTTCCTTAAATCCGAAGGGTCAGATACTTTTTTTGGGGAGGGGAAGGTAAAATAAGTAAAATAAAATGTCAACGGATAATATTATTCAAAACAAAAATACACTCGTATTTAGTATAGTGTTTTTCTGTTCGAAAGATAAATTCCGAGACCCATAACCGCACGCGAGCATTAGCATAATGTGTAATCGTTAAAAAAAAAAACAAACACAAAAACAAAAAGTTGTTTACAACATTAACATTATGTAAAACTCGCATAACAGAGAAACTAAATGCGGTTAAATAATATACTCAAAAACAATAATATTATACTATGAGTTCGTATTGTTTTGTTATCTCCGTGTGCTTGAAAGGCTGACGATAACGACGGGCATCGTTTAATAGAATATCATACGATGTTTTTGTTTTTATTTGTCAGAAAAAGAAAAAACAATAAAATAAAATATTTCACTGCATCCATCCATAAAATCCTGGTTTACTTTATGAAAGCAAATCCTATCGTCATTGTAATTCTTATATTCTTTTAATCCTAATATCTCACAAAAAAAAAAATCATTCGAAATTCGAAGTGTAAAACATATTGTCTCTTAAGTGTAATATCATAATTTATTAATAAAAGCTTAACAGAATTTTTAGAGTAGATTTTAGGATTTCGTATATTTTAAACTCAACAAACCGAAAGTTCAGAAATAATTGTTACGATTTATAAAACCAGCAGGTAAGCTGACAAATTTATATGGTACCTATGGTTAAGATATTTATTATTAATAAACAATAATAGAATATTTTAATTGTTTTTTTTCTTTAATGGAAAATTTTGATACTTGTAGTATCTATGCCACGAGATAATATTTGAAATACACTTTTTTTTCGAATTATTTTTAATACAATATTATTTAATCTAAATCATGATGATTGATCTAAATGTGCAAGTTTAATAAGAATATAATAGATTTTTTTTCCTTTTAATGTTCCGTTTAACAAATTCCTCATTCTTTAATTTTGAGTTGCTGATAATATTTATATATAAATTTAAAAAAAAAAAGTATGTACATGTTTGACTTAGATTTCTGTTAATCTGAAACTAGTACTGAACTAAAGCTTTGAGACAAATAAAAAATGCATCGAAATCCCAGCCCTATAGTTGAGAATTTATGTCGCAATAATTTCATAATTATTTTTAATATCCTCCAAAATAGCGTGTGTATAAATACCATAAATAGTAAATACCTATATAATATTTCTTTTTGGATATTCATTACAATATATATGAACGAGAAAAAACAGAGAATTTACGAAATTGCATATTTATAATTGTAATTATAATGTACAATACCTATAAAACTAAGAGACCGACAATAAATATGCAGTGTTACTTAGAATTTATAGCGCTTACATAATTATTAAAAAAAATATTATAATAACACGCAAAACATATGCGTAGATACATTTTGGAACGTAATAAAAACACAAATAAGGTGAACTGCACTCAGCGGTGGTATTTTACGATAAAAAAAAGGATAACACTATTTTACAAAAAAAAAAAAAAACGAAAAACATTAATTCATTCTAATTCATTTTTTTAAATAAGAAATTTAATAATATTTTCTTTTACAAACACAGGTTGTTTTAAATAACTAAATAAATTCGAAACTGTTTTTTTTATTATTATTATTATTATCCTTGACTTGTGCCCGTCTACATGAATATTAATAAATGTTTTAAGGCTTGCACTCTTTTGCATGCAGTACTCATATAACACATTCTCGTACAAGAATAACAAAATCCGAGTCCTGCTAGTTTTTATGAGTTCTGACCATCGTTAAATATATTAATTATGATCGTATTAATACGTATTTTAGTTTTAAACTCTCCATGTGCGCATTATTGAAAATATTAAAACTGCATAGAAAGAATGGCAGTGTTTTTTTTTATCACCAGCGTAGCTAGCTGATAATTTATCACTACCAGTGGCGGTCATAACACTTGCGTCTCACAATAAATTTCCATTATCTCTGTATTTATTTAATTTTGTATACTATTTAGTTATGATCGTGAAAAATTCGCATTTTGATGGCTTGACAAAGATCTAAAAATCTATTTAAACTTATAATACCTGTAGTATAGATGTGACACAACATTTTGAACAAAATGAATGTCCAAGTATAATCTGAGAATGACCAAAGTGGACACCTGTATATTTGCACAAACGTCACGCAGTCCAATTATACGGATAACTTAAAACGAGTAAATCGTTGTAAATAATTATCGAGATGACATCACCGATTATGTTAAGGGGTTTTACGCCGAAAATCGAAACGAGTTTAATTAAATGAAAGTATTCAGTGATACGATTTTTAAGTAATTTACCCAACCAAAATTATATCGATTGCAATCTATAGCTATATTATTATTTATGAAAACCTTTTTTAGCGGTGTAAACGAAATCTCAAGTGAGAAAATAAATTACAATAATAATAATATAATAATATCCAAACCATAATTTCAGATAATCATTTACCGGCTATACATAGGTTTTTTTTTTATAAATATAAATAAAATAAACAGTTTTACAATAAATAACTGAATTTTATTAATAATATTATTATAAAACTATATCTATATTATATACTTTACAAAAGTAATTACATTACTTTAAATAAAAATTATGAAATTTAATCGTCGTAAAAATGGTAGAGGTGGTAGTTGGAATTTGAAACCCCCAAAATTCACTTGATACTGACGTTATGAATACAAAAAATTTCATTCCGCTAAATTAATTTCGGGGAGAAGGGTGGGTTGCATATGGATGTACAAAACTAAAAATATATATCCTCTTCCCGCTACAACATGGTAAAATTCATATTACAATTTAACCAAACATTATTATCACTACTGTACCGAGTTTGAGATAATTTGATCCAGAAAGAGCTAGAGAAATGTCAAAATTAGTGGGAAAAGTTATACATATATACTTATATAAGAGACATAATATAGTGAAATAATTTCTATTCTTGTAAAATTCAACAAAACAGCTAATATTTGAAAATATCAAATAGCTTAACAATTCCAAAAGAGTCGAATTATTTTGAAAATTATATCATTTACAGAAAATTTGAATTGGGAAAATTTCCTAATCAAGCGTAATTATTTTCCCTTAAATTACAAAAAAAAACTGAATTGGTGTCTTATTTTCGGTTCACGAATATTATCATATAATATCATGGTTTCTTCTTAGTCTTATTTTTTTTATAAAATTAACATCACAAATAATATTAAATGTTTTTTTGTTTCATTGCGAACGAAAACAGTCTTATAACATCAAACGAATCGGACTATACTCTCTCGGGAAACGATATACGATTCTTGAAAAGCCAATTATATCGCTGTCTAAAGTTTGATAGGTCTACAAACAAGAACGCGTATTTTATTTAAAATGACATCAAACGAATTCAGAAAACCATGTAGGTAGGAGATACATGACAAGTCCCAGACGTTTTTGAACTTCTCTAGGAATAATAATTTTTTGGTCAGATTTCCGGAGGTGGCGATCGAAATGGCTACCCAGTATAGCTTGTTATCAACCTTTACTAATTAATTGACAGCCAGTGCAATGTATTGGTAAACGTCACTCCTCCCACTAACAGTTGTTTATTGATAATTAAATTTATAGTAACGATAAAATAAAAACTTGCGTATACCTACTGCCTTTAATATATAATTTTTTATTTAGCGTATTCTTATAAATAACTAATTTTCTTATAGATATACGTATGAATCCAAAAATAAAAAACTTGGTATACGTCGTATACCCGTATATCTCTTCAATATACCATTAGCGTCATTGGTGATGATCGTATAGAATATTATTAATATTGTACTTAGTAAATATTAATAAATGATTATTATTTTGTAAAAGTTATACATTTTCAATGCTGAATAGGTAGATTATGTAATTTGTATTTGAATACGGTCAATAGGATGGGAAGGAAGTTGCAGAAGGATATAGGTAATAAAAAAACTATGCAATCAGTTAAATTTTGCTGTACACATTGAAACCTCCTCTAACGGACACTTCCCAATAGTGTATGTTTTTTTGGGATCGGGGCATTTTCACTAATTTTAAATCGGAAAACCTCCGAATAGCAGACATTATTTTAATCTTAATTAAAAAATAGTGACAAAACGATGGTACTTAAACACATTTGCATTACTGTATGTACTCTCGTAATAATGTAATAACGATAACGAACTCGATAAGATTATAAATAGTGAACATCTATTACAATAAATAGTTATTACTAAAAATAGCTGATACTGGGGATGGGAGTGGCCACTGTTGTAGGTAGGAAGTTTGGAAGGTAGGATACATAAGGTTGTTTCATTCATATCTGTAAGCAACGATAAATCATTGCTTGACGAAAGACGATTCCGAGCGCTGTTCGGTAATACATAATTTTAAGTGCCGTAATTTTTTACTTAATCGTCAAAACACAACTTTACTATTGAAAAAGTACTGATATCATTTTTATCAACAATAGTATAATCATTAAGCTGACCAAAAATTTCCCTGATTATAAATTGCCGGCAGTTATAGCTAAAAATTATCAACATTTTGTCAAATTTTTAATCTGCAATATGCCCTGGTGTAATTTTAACAACGAAATGTAAACATTCTATCCATTTTTGAAGTTTTCTTCTTCTGGTTTTTCTGAATCATTATGAAATCAAAAAAAAAAAAAAAAACCACTTATGCCATGAGAAATAAGATTTGTACGTTTTTTTCCGATTATTATGAAAAATAATTCGATAATCAAAAAAACGAATTGCAACATTAAAAAAAATTTGATAATTCAACACAAAAGTCTCTTGTCATTTTTAAATTGGTGCCATAATTGTGCTAGAAAACGTGGTAGGTATTTATTTAAAATAACTAAATCGTGAAAAAATCGTATTTTTTCTCTCGGTTAATTGTATTTATTTTAAATACTGTTTCGAAAATCAAAAAATGACCTATTTATTTACTTTGTAGATTAAATTTACTTTCAGAGAAGGTTCTATATTTATATATTGGAACAAGTTTTCTAGAATAAAAGTGGTCTACAGTATAAAAAAAAACATAATAATAAAGTACCATCGCGGAAAAAAAAAAGTCATCCGATCATTTTGGAAATTTTACCACATCTAGGTAAATTCAATATAAGTAATATTATTAAGTTTCAAGTCTTCATGTATATTTATAACTGAACTACAGCAAAAAACACCCAAAAATTAAAATTCCTTTAAAGCTCAAAAGTGATTTAAAAATGTTGGCAATGATACCGTAAGAAAGTAAATCAAAAAGGCAACAAATAAAGACAACTTGTGATTTTTCGATTAAATTACTTTTTCTGGTAGAAAATGTCATCTGTGTTTTTATAAAATAATGAAATCGTGAAATTGTACGTTTTCCTACGTTTTTTTCCACTTAAGTACTTTTATTTGAAAAATGGCGTCAAAAATCAAAAAATGACGTGAAATAAATGAAAAAAATACAAACGAGAAAACTTGAACTTTCATAAAAGTTGCCACACGTAAAAATTGGAGCAAGTTTACTATGAAAAAACGTGTCCACGGACTAAAAAAAGAAAAAAGAAAGAAATACGAGAAACATCTTAGTAAAACCAATAACTCCCTCGCTATACTCGAAATCTAAAATAACGATAAAACGGCGACAGTTTTATGTATAACAATAATGATAATAATAACAATAAACTCGTTATCGAACTTATAAGAATACGACAATTATGACGAAAATTATGTCTTGACTGCTAATTTTCGATTGTTTTGTTAGTCAGTTATTTACTTTTCGATTAGTGACGAGTGAGTACGACTTTTCGATGAGTGTGCTAAAGCGAAAGAGTTTGTCTCTTCGAGAAAAAATCGATATTCTCAACTTCCGTTATAACAACGAAAACCTAAAAATTCGTTTTCTAGTAGTTTGAAGTTGTAAAAACTAAAAAGTCATTAAAATATTTATATTTTATATCACATTTTTATATCGGCATTATAATTTAATTTAACATAGCACAAATGTTTTCATTTTACACAGTATCCTTTATGAATTTAAAAAATGTACCCCTCTCAATAACGGATACTTCCGAAAAGCGGACAAAAATTTGGCGACCGAGGGTATTTAATATTCAGTGGTTTCACTTTATTAATATTTTATATTAATGAATACAAATTTTAAATACATCATAATCAATACATACATTCGTCACGTTTATTATAAAGTTATAAATATAATTTTAATTATTTCCTGTTTAACCATCATCATTCCCAAATTTAATATGGTGACATATCTTTGATCTAGTTGTACATTCCACGCGCAGGTTTTTTTTTAGCTGCTGGTTCACTTTTACCTACGTCTAGTCGCCTTTAATTGTGAACTCATAAAGTGAATATTTCACCGTAAACCTACAATTTGGGTTTTCATCATCTTCTGTAAATGTATAATTGGGAAACTGCACGTGATGAACCGTGTAAAATTTTGCAATTCACTGATATGGTCTAACATGAATTTTCGTTTATTTAAAAGTATTTCCTCTGTGTCATTTTCGGTATTAAGTATTAATTTTTTTATAAGAGTAAAAGCCAAGTTACTCTTCGCGTCTTTTTTCGACTGCCTAGCTGTTCCAAACTCAACGATACGATAGTTATTGGTGAAAACCGTGAAATATTCAAATTCTCTGTCGTCCATCTAATAGTCTAATTTTTTCTATTTTCTATTTCAATAATTTCATTAAGTGCACTCATTGGGTATTTTTCGTTGTTCTATAATAATCTACATAAATTTTCTGTGTCATTCGGACAGTTTTGTTGATTCTAGAGACGTATTATTACTTCTGACAGCGCTGTGATATTACAGTAGTTAACGTCGTTGCAGTATATAATGACGGAAATCTACAGCAGTTTCTACTTTACGAATAGTACTTATGAAAAGAATTATGTATTTATTTTACATTTATACTGCAAAAATAAAACAGCATAAAACACTACTACAGTTGCGATTCGATGACGATACCATTATTGATTAAATATAGTATAGGATACCGAATAACAATCGTTGCATCACGGCGAAAATCTCAATATTACTCGGGTAAACCGTAAAATAATATCATTTAACTAGAAGGTCTTTAAATTCTGACTCGTGTGTTCGCCGAATATTTACCATTTTTTTTTATTAAATATACAGTTCCAATGATTCATAGAATAAACGATATGTCCAATGTAGTATGAATAGTTGTCGGATTTAAATGATTCGCTATTAATTAAACTATTTAAATATTTTCCAGACCATATAAATAGAATTATTGTAAAATTTTCAACTTTGTGGATTTTTCGGAAACCGAAATCCACTAAATTCAGTACAAATGAACGATTAATTTATACCTATACATAGACAGTTGATAGAAAATCCCTCTATACTACTCCCAGGACCAAACCTACCGAGAATTAAATAGTCAGTGTCTTTAAACCAAAATACGAACTGAACAAGGCAAATGCGTATACCTGTTGAAAAAGTGGTGCGTAAAATATACAAATAGACTCCTGCGAATGCGGGAACACTGGGCGAACTTTCCGGAATTAACAAATTAGAAACCGGAGCTATAATAAAATAGATCTACGTCCCAAAATTTGAACTATATATAATTAGATTGAAAATACATTACAATTATAATATCTTGTAGTTTCAAAATCATTGAAAGTCTAATTGTTTCAAATTCAAATCTTATAGCGAATGATCTCTTGGTTTTATTATGAGTGTTTTATTTTATTTTTATATTTTTGTTTTTTTTCTTCTGTTTTTAAACAACTACTCGAAAAGTAATTTTGCTTCTATGTATTAAGTGCAGCATCTATTTTTGAAAATAAATTGTATCTAGTTGATGTATTAATTGGGTAATTTGTTG